GGGGGGCTGCCTGGGCAGGGAGCGGCGCCCTCAGCCTCCTGGGAGCCACTGGGACACATCCCAGGTCCCGCAAGGACAGGAGTGGAGGCAGGTGGCTGTGCAGGGTCCTGTCTTTGGGAGAGGTGTCACCTGGGACACCGTGTCAGTAGCAGGGCGGTGGGTGCTGCAGCGTGGAGACACCAATGAGCTGTCGCAAATCTATTACTCAGGCAAAACGATTTAAAAAGTGGGTGCTAATTGTGTAACCTCTGATTTGTAGCAACAGTTGCTGGTCGCCCTGTGGGTGGTGGACAAACCCTGGTCGCCTTGGTCTTGCCTGGGGTTTGCTGCTGGGTTGGTTGGCAATGCCCACAGTGCCCGTGCTGGGGACGGAGCATCACCTGGCAGGAGCTGCTGGCGCTGCTCACCGAGGAAACCTGCTCTGCTGATCTCCCTGCAGGATTTGACCCGCCTTTGTTGTTCAACCCAAGCGTGTGCGTGCATGTGCGCCGAGCAGAGCCTCTGCGGGAGCTGTTTGCCAGACTCACCCAGTTACTGGGAACAGAACAAACTACTCTTCACCTCCCCAGTCACACTCAGCGCTGCGGACCCAGCCCAGCAGGCAGCCAGGGAAGAGCTGCCCTGCTCCAAAAGGTGCCTGGATCCAGCCACCTCCCTCTAGAGCTTTACCAGCTGGACAGGTACTTCCAGGGAGCGGGGTGTTCACGGGGCTGCTGGGGACCTGCAGATTGTGGGGGACAGACCCCATGGGGCTGGTGGGGTGCAGGTGGGAGCTCTGTTAGGGTTGGGGCTTGGGTGGCCACAGGTGGGAACACTAACAGCGTACAGTGCCATGTTGGGACCCCACAAGCACTGTGGGGGTCTCTGGCACTTGGGGCTGCTCACCCAGGGGGTGACGGGGTTGGATGGTTCCATGTGGGACTCCAGAGAGCAGGAACAGCCATCCCAGGCCCTGCTGCTCTGTCCCACTGCCCTCCATGGGCACAGAAGGAGGCTGACCCCCCCAGGAGAAGGCGTGCAGCCCCTCTCTGCTACGTAAGCACCCCAGGATCTTTGGGCCCCAACGCCCTGCCCCCACGTGGGGCAGGACCCGGCGGTGACACAGCGGGTTGGCACGCCAGGGGCTGGCAAAGGTGCCAGGCTTGGCGGGAGGCAAACTGGTGCTGCAGGCAGAGCTGAGCACACCCACAGCCAGTGCCCGCTGGGCTGGGGGCTCCCGCGGCGCCGCAGAACAAACCCTGGCACTGGGCTCAGCACCAGGCTTTGGGCTCGGTACTGGGCTCCTCTCCTCTTCCTTGCTTCTACCATGGGTGTATGGCTGGAGCTGGTGCTGGGCTGAGCCAGGCAGGTGGGTGCTGGGCAGGTGGGTGGTGGGTGGCACTACCAGTAGGGCCTGAAGATGGGGTCTGGGGGAACTGGCAAGGGGGCACTGGTGCTGGGGGCCATCTGACATTGGCACCAGCTTTCAGCTGAGGAGGGGAAAGCAGCGGCTCCCCTCTCCTGATTTTAAAGCCAAGGGCCTGGCAGGAGCACTGTGGGCACTCCTCACCCCAGCCAGGGAGGGTGATCTCCCAGTTTTGGGTGAGGTGGTGAGCCTATGTGTATGGGGCTAGGCAGAGGCACTGCCCTGGCACATGCTGGCACTGAACTGCACCTTGGCCCCACTTGGATCAGCCAAAGGTGCCAGGCTTGGCGGGAGGCAAACTGGTGCTGCAGGCAGAGCTGAGCACACCCACAGCCAGTGCCCGCTGGGCTGGGGGCTCCCGCGGCGCCGCAGAACAAACCCTGGCACTGGGCTCAGCACCAGGCTTTGGGCTCGGTACTGGGCTCCTCTCCTCTTCCTTGCTTCTACCATGGGTGTATGGCTGGAGCTGGTGCTGGGCTGAGCCAGGCAGGTGGGTGCTGGGCAGGTGGGTGGTGGGTGGCACTACCAGTAGGGCCTGAAGATGGGGTCTGGGGGAACTGGCAAGGGGGCACTGGTGCTGGGGGCCATCTGACATTGGCACCAGCTTTCAGCTGAGGAGGGGAAAGCAGCAGCTTCCCTCTCCTGTTTTTAAAGCCAAGGGCCTGGCAGGAGCACTGTGGGCACTCCTCACCCCAGCCAGGGAGGGTGATCTCCCAGTTTTGGGTGAGGTGGTGAGCCTATGTGTATGGGGCTAGGCAGAGGCACTGCCCTGGCACATGCTGGCACTGAACTGCACCTTGGCCCCACTTGGATCAGCCACATTTCTCTTTGTGTCCCTGGGCCAAGTGTGGTGACAGTTTTGGGGGTCACTGTGGGGTGGCCCCAGCCAGGGATGGGCTCTGGGTAGCCCTGTGGGCTCCGGGCAGTGTTCCAGCCTCTGTTCCTTCCTGTAGCCCTGGGACACCTCACTGTGCCACGCAGCCATTCCTGGATGAAGGGACCCTGAAGACCCTTGGCCATGCCCCATGCTGGGCACTTCACACCCCACTGCTCCTGGTGAGCAGGGAAGGAACCTGAACCTCTCTTAACCAGGTACGTCTCGGAGGACACTGGGTGGGCAATGGGCAGTGGCTCCTCGGGATTGGGACAGCAAGTGCACAGAGCTGATTGAGCTGAGTGGCTGGGGCTGAAGGAATTAGGGGTTGGGGTTGAACGAGGCTTTTGCTCTGGCCTGAACTTGTGTCCTCTCTGTCAGGCACAGACCTGTAAAACTTGGCAGCTCCTCACAAAAACCAGACAAATTCTTTCCAACACGAGGAGCCTGCAAAAAGTCTCCTCTGAGCTTTGTTGTTTCCTGGCTCTGTTCTCCAAGGGCTCAGCCCTCCCTGGGGTTGCGGGTGCTTTGTTCTGGTCCCCACAGCGACCACACCTGTGCTCCCACCAGCCACTGGAGTGTGTGTCACGCAAAGCAACTACTTAAACGCCAAC